GGAGGTGGTGGAGGAGGTGGAGGTGGTGGAGGAAAACGCCCTGAAATCAGTTGAATTATGAATGTCCTCTAGGGCACGTTTATGGGTGCTACCTTTCAGAAGTAGTCTATTAAAGAAAATAGGAAAATTGGGTTGAAAAATGAGGGCGATCCTTAGCACGCTTTGATCCAAAAAAGGGCAAGGTAACAGCTCAATGGAGGGGAAGTTCTTTCGGAAGATTTTATTTGACTTTCATTGAACTTATCTGAGTTTTGTTCATCTGACGTAAGTAACTCATTGAGTTATCATTTAACGATGTCATTTAAGTAACGTAACATCAACCGCTTAGGTGATTTCACTGATGCACTTCCAATGCTACCATCATGGTACTGTTTATCCCTTCAGTTCATCCAAGTTATCCAAAAACAACGCTCACATGAATAGCCATGGTTGCTGCGATCCCCTTGCCGCTAACGATCTCTTTTCCACGAGTCCATTGCATATCATTATCTATCATTGGCTTAGAGATCGACATCGACCCCCTTCTCCTCCAAAACATTCCTTAGTTATTTATTTTCCCCCTTTGTTGTGAGCATTGCTCTAGAGTGACACCACATAGAGTGCCTTTATGTTGAGGCACCTCATTCAGAAGTCTATAGGTGAGGGAAACTCGACCATGTTTGACAGAAAGCAGTGTTTTCTTCTTGGGAAAGTTCTCGGGATCCTGGTTTCTCACTCCAAATGAGAAGGAGCAGTAAATAGTTTTGTTAGAAAAACCATAAAGGGCACAGTCCACTCGTATGTGCATAACCTATAAGATTTCGTGATCTCTTCGACCTTCTTCTTCCAAGATTTGGAATATTGGGAGGAGGTAGCACAGAACCACTAGAAAGGGGCGTCAAGGGCAAATAAGTCTCTTAAATTCCGATGACATCGAGCAGCGTAACGGTCGGTCGGATCCAAACTGATAAAGAAGTGTGTGTCGAAGGGGTGACAGTTAGGCCAACATAAGGTCAATACTCAAGAAATAGAAAGCGTTACAAGTGGGATGTGTAATGCGTGTAATACACAAAAGGATTGTGTCCTTGTATCATAATTCCATGGGTACGTCTAGAACTTCTTGAATTTCGGGCTACTGTGGAATTCTTGGTACTTACTTTCCGCTTTACCGTTCCTAAAGCAGGGGCGTTAAATTACGGGCAATTTGTTTGGCTTCAGCCAGAGCTCGAACCCTCACCATTGTTTCAGGTCACTGTGCTTCTGATCCTCATCTCACAATCAAGCGAATAGCTGGTTGGAGTGGTGCCAAAACTTCCAAACTTCTTGTTTATTGGTGAATTTGCGGAGATAGTTATACATTCTTTCCTTTTTTCATGGCTACCAGAAATTATACAAATGATAAATTTGCTTTTTAGTATAAGCAGGAACGTTTCTTTCCGATGAACAAAGTTTGAAAGGTGGCCTACCCCATTGAGCTGAGACAGCAACAACGCCGATAAGGAACAACAAAATGACGAACACTCGCATTTAATCTGAAAAAGCTCCTCATAGACGATAAACGAGGATATCGTTAGAGAAAACTCGGGAAGCAATAACGAGTGAAAGCGAGTTGTCCAGGGTACAATTTCAGACTGCACCAAAAAATTTTTCTTCCCCGGAGCCACTTGAACACTTGAAGCAGGTGTAGAAGGCATTGGCAACGAGTTCCTGTTCACGATGATCTGGAGCTTTGCTTCTGAAGGGTCCCGGCCAATTAGTGGCTGTGCTACTGATCCGATTTCATGTAAATCTTGGTAGATTTCTGCACTTACACTACCGTGGTCAGAATATATACAAGTTATAGCACTCTTGCCATCTCAGACGATTCTGATACAACTCAGTTGACTGAGGGATGGAAGAGCTTTGGGCCTGAACGTATAGGCCTGCGAATCGTTATTCGATCCAACTTCACCTTCGCCTCTGAAGGCGATATGTCTTCAAGTAGAAGGTTCACACAGATGATGGATGATAGGTTTCGTGACGTATCTGGCGTCGAGCGGCATCGGACGCTGTGAAGCTCTACTCTACTGAGCAAATCGCATGCTGTCTTGAGGCTAGGCTCAAAGAAGACAGTTCTGTTATAGATAATGGTCGATTTCAGCCACATTAAAACGGTATTTTGATAAACACGGGCATTCAGTTTAGGTTTCGAAGATCGTTCCCTATTTATACACAGTTTCTTGAACTTCTTAGAAACCACCAACCGTGTCGGAAAAACAAACTCGTACT